TCTTAACAGGCTACCCCCTGCCCCCCATGCCTAACCCTTTCTGTAAGAACCAAGCAGACCTGGGCTTGAATCTCAACCACCACTCACTAGCTATGTGGCCATTCACTGCTTACTGTTTTCAAGCCCAATTCCCACATCTATAAACAGGATCATCACATCTGCCATCACATCTGTACCATAGGCAAAAGAGCTACTGATTCTGGGACAAAGTTAATGCTCAGTAGTGGCCATCCTTGGTCCTTCTGACAGCAGTCTCCGGGCCAGTCTCCTCTTGCCAGAGTTCACCCTGGAGGTGGCTGTGAATCACCATCACACCTACTCTGTGACCTGGGAGTCTGGCAGGAATCATGCTCCCCCTGTTCCCTGAGCCTCATCTCTGGTGCCTCGCAGTAAGCCGCACCCCCCCCCCAACTGGGCCAAGGAGTCCACCTCCCTCAAGGCCAACCCCAGACAAAGCACGATCCCTCTGAGGATGGGGCTGAGAGCAGGGCTAGGTGGGGGTGCTCCCTGCAGACAGCAGGGAGATATCCGATTGAGCTTCATGGGACTGGCAAATACGGCAATGACTCCTACCGAATTTTTTGCATCAATGAGTGGAAGCAGGTACACCCTGAAGACCATAAGTTAAATAAATATCATGACTGGCTTTGGGAAAATCATGAAAAATTAAGTCTGTCTTAAAACTGTGAAATTTTCAAACTCCTTTTTTCATGCACCGCTTTGATTCTTCAGAGCTCCATTAAACCAACCAACTACTTTTCCAGGCTTATAGGTTTTAATCAACCCAACCAGAGACCCAACTAGAGACCTAATTACACCCCACTTCTCACCCCACTGTTCTTGGTGACCTTTAGCACATCAAGGCTGGTTGACAAACAAAACCCAACAACAACAAAGGAAGCACTGAGCCAGCCAGGCCGAGGGATTCAGAGCAGAAAAATCCCCAGGGCAACTTTTTCCTGGGGGGGGGGCACACTCGACTGCAGAGACCCCCTCGCACGGACCTGAGCCCTTCAGGAACCCTCAGCGCACGAGTGGCCTGAATAAATAAATGAACCTCCCCTCAGCGCTGGGTCTGAATCAGGCCGCGCCAACCTCTGGGCCAGACCCCCGCTTCCACCTTGGGGACACCCTCCCTCCCGGGCTTCCCGCCCCCACCGCCCCGGCTCCGGGAATCGCGGGCGGAGGCTGCGGAGGGATGGGGCCGGGAGGCGGCCTCCCGGGGTGCTTGGGGGACACGC